TGCTGAGCTCCCTGCAGCCCTGACTGCTGTGCCTGCCTGGCCTCACCTCTGCTCTGCAGCCTCCAATTGGCCCAGTGCCTCTTCCAGGTCCACGCTGTGCTCCAGCTCTGACCTCCGCAGCCGGGCCTCGGTGGTCTGCAGCCGGGCCTGCAGCTAGAGGGGAGCATTAGCCCACCTGGAGGGCAGCTTTGGCACAAAGCAGGTGTGGTCAGGCGGGGTCAGGTGGGGTCAGGTGGGGTCGGGGAAAACAGCCCTCAGGGACGGACGGCGCTGGTTGTGGGAAGGAAGCCTCACTCCACCTCTCGCCCACATCTAAGGACTCCACACGACCAGGGAGAAAGGGCTGCCACGCGGTGGCTCAAGGGAGGGGTGCTGGCCCAGATGGGGCAGGTGGCCAGCACTGGGCCAGGGAGAAGGGCAGACAGAGAGAGCGGCTGGCATTAGGCTGGGGAGGACAGAGTGGGGCGGGGGAGCTGGGCTCAGGGGGAGGGCCCAGGAGCGGGGCTGGTGGTGAACTGAGAACACTGAATACGTAAACATTGGGAAAACCAGTAAAATTATGCTTGAAAGGAGTTCACCTTTGGAGGGTACAGAGTGAGTCCATGTGCCCTGTTCAGTGCTGATACATTCGATTCCATTCATCCCTCCTCCATTTATGCCGCCTGATCTGCCCTTTGCTTTTGAACTAAGGAATCGCCAGACACCGTCTCACGTCCACCTCCTCCGGAATCAGCAAGAAGCGCTCAGGGTCGCTCAGGAAGTGGCCCTCGCCCGCCCGCGCAGCCCCGGGGAGCTTCCTCCACCCTGAACCTCGCTCACGGAGCTGCTGTGACAAGTGCAGAACCGAGCCCGCGGGAGAGCCCGGCTCGCTCCCTTCCGCGTCCCGGGAGGAGGTGAACAAGGCTGACGTTAAACAGCGCCCTTGTCCTGTCACATAAGCCTGTCCTCTGGAGTCTCATCTGAACTCAGACCTTTGAAGCGAAGGGTGTAGAAACTGGGGCCATGGGCTGTGAAAATAGCCCTCAAAGAGAAACCTGTGAAATTACCTCCGTCTGACCTCCACTTTCCCACACCGCACACCACGGGGAGCTGACTCAGCCGGAACTGGCTGCTGGCACGTTCATGCAGGGTGGGAAAGTACGAAAGTCGGCGGCCTGGCTAGATGTCTTAGTAAAAAGAGGTAGCCTGGCTGGTGTGGTTAAGAGGTTAGAGCAACAGATCTCAACCTGTGGGTCGCGACCCCATTGGCGGTCGAAGGACCCTTTCACAGGAGTCGCCTAAGACCATCCTGCATATCAGATATTTACATGATGATTCATAACAGTAGCATCATTATAGTTATGAAGTAGCAACGAAAATAAATTTTACGGTTCGGTCACAACATGAGGAACTGCATTTAAAGGGCCAGAGGTTGAGAACCACTGGGTTAGAGCGTAGGCTTGCACACCAACAGGTCAGGGGTTCGATATCCGGTCAAGAGCACGTACCTCGGTTGCAGGTTCGACCCCCAGCCCATTCAGGACTCATGCAGGAGGCATCCAATCGATGTGCCTCTCTTACATCAATGTTTCTCTCTCTCCCCCATCCCCCCTTTACTCTCTCTAAAAAAAAAAAATCAATGGGAAAAATATCCTTGGGAGAAGATTAACAAAAAATTTTTTTAAATAATAAGTAAATAAAAAAGATAGAGGGAGTCTTAAGTCAAAAGTGTGATTTTCCCAAAAAGCAAGCTCCGGGATTTGGTTGGGACAAGTGCATGTTTTCGTTGCCTTGAACATATACCTTGAACCCACCCAGTGGCCAAGAGGGCCGAAGGCTCCGGCCATGGCAGGGGCCCCTGGGCACACATACAGCGTGCAGTGCACGCGTCCCTCTTGGGCACCTGCGTGCTCACCCAGATCCTTCTGCATGTGCACAGGGAGGACATCTGAACAGGGTCGCAGCAGATGTTTCAATCAATCTGTTGCTCTGGCCATAAGCACCTGCCCTGTTGAGGCCTTCTGGGTTTCCCCAGGGAGCACCTGCCACACACGATGATACCCGGGCATGGGTCACAGTGAGGCCTCCAAACTGCTTATTAGAAGGTGCTCAGGCCTGTCTCCCGGGTCCACGGGGAGCCCCTGTGGAAGTGGGGCCCGTTTCTTTGGGTGAAGCCACTGCTCTGCGTACCCCTTGTCTTTGCCTCCCTGGCTCTTTACCTTTTGCCTTCTCCTGCGAGGCTCTGGGCTACACGAACTTAATCAACACGTATATATGTGCCCTGTTGGTCTAAACCCGTGGTCGGCAAACTCACTAGTCAACAGAACCAAATATCAACAGTACAACGACTGAAATTGCTTTTGAGAGCCAAATTTTTTAAACTTAAACTATATAGGTAGGTACATTGTTATTAACTTAATTAGGGTACTCCTAAGGCTTAGGAAGAGCCACACTCAGGGGCCAAAGAGCTGCATGTGGCTCGCGAGCCGCAGTCTGCCGACCACAGGTAAACTCTTGATGAGTATTGACTGGATTAATCCTCTCGATACGCTATGAGACAGGGACCCTTGTCCGCTTTACAGATGAGGAAAGCAACCACGAGTGAGGTCCAGTAGCTGTCCATTCGCCCCGCTATTGTGTGGGAGCCCAACGGTGTGCACCGGGGCTGGGTGCTCCGTGCTCCGTGCTCAGAACCACTCTGCTGCCTTTGGGCAGCTTATTCCAGGAACTCGCGGGCTCTGGGCTCCTCTCCTGAAACTCCAACAACTAGAGCTGAGAGTTCTACCTGAGGTCTAACCCTGGACCACCTCTGGTCCTGGGGCCACCTGCCTTGTCTCTGCTGAAAGGCTTCCCACCTTGACGTGTGACTGCCCATTTCCAAGGCTCTCCCGCTCCAGACCCCAGCCCTCTGCAGACTCCGCCTGCTCGGGCACTGCCACAGCCCTAGTCCTCTGTGCCTGGCACAGTCGGTGCCTAGCAGCCATTGGTTGGCCAAGTGGGTAAGTGAGAAAGGGGATGACCGGAGGACTGTTGGGAAGGTGGCACCAGGAAGACTGGAGGCCGATGGGGAATATGTGCCTGGCAGGACGCCCAGGTGTCTGGCTTGGGTGACGGGCAGATAGTGAACCTGAGATGGGGAGGAGAGAGAGGATTTGGGGGCGGGTAACAGGTTTGATTTTGGAAGTGGTGCGTGTCATGGGTCTGTGGGATATCCCGGAGGAGAGAGCCAGCTGGACACATGGGTCTGTGGTCAGAAGGTGGGGGGGTGGGTAGGTCCTTGGAGATTTGGGATCCGCAGTATAAAGGATGGTAATAAAGATGGGGCTGGAAGAAGGCAGCCGAGGGATGGTCAGCATGGCCCCATCTCCACCTGGGCCTCCCGCTGGCGATAAATTAGCTCAAGTGCCCAAGCACCTGCCATCTCCTGAGGGCTGGGAGCACCAGCCTCTGGGGTGAGAGCTGGGCCCACGCCCTACACTGCTGCCCACGTGCTTGAGGGCTGGCAGGTGCCAGGAAAGTGTCCCTGGACTGCCTCAACCTAGATGGGAACACCGGAGAACCCCTGAAATCACAGGCTCCCCAGGGAGGGCCAGCGATGGTAGCCCGGCCCCGGCACTGCCCTCAGGGCGGTCCCCTGACACTCCAGGGATGGGGCAGGAGTCAGGGCCCCTCCCGCAGGTTCCTCTTTCTGCAGGAACGTAGCCAAGGAGGCACTCAGAAGGAAACCCTGCATCCCCACCGCTCTCGGCTTTCAACGACAAACCCACAAACCCGCCGGAAGGCTCTTGCAAGCAAAGGAGATACCCTGGCTGCTCAGACAGAGGGACAGACTGACAGACAGAGGCTGGGGGGGTCTCCTTGCTTGCTTACAGAACTGTGCTGCGCTAAGAAAGCCCTGTAGAGGGCACCTGCCAGCCAGGTGACTTCGAGAGGTCAGGGGGTCCCTGTTCCGAAAAATATGTTGGTTATGGGGGGCGGGGGGAGCCTGGCAGGTTCCTGATCTCCCCAGTTTGACCCTCTGCCTGAAGCTGCATCCTTTAGGGCAGCGGTTCTCAACCTGTGGGTCGCGAGCCCTTTGGCGGTCAAACGACCCTTTCACAGGGGTTGCCTAAGACCATCCTGCATATCAGATATTTACATTACGATTCATAGCAGTAGCAACATTACAGTTATGACGTAGCAACGAAAATAATTGTATGGTTGGGTCACAACATGAGAAACTGTATTTAAAGGGCCAGAAGGTTGAGAATCACTGCTTTAGGGCTCATCTTTCTGAGCCTTCAATGTTTTGGAGGCTCCTCAATGAAGGTAAGACGCTCATGGGCAGTCATGCCCCTGGTCCCCGCTAACTAAAAGCCTGGGAGAGGGAGTAGCCTCGTGTCCAGCTCGGGGGCCAGGCTGCTCTCTGAACCCCTTTCCCCTGAAACTCCAACTCGGAAATCACCCCAACAGGCTCCCTGGCTGTCACTCACCAGCTGGTAGAAGGTGATGTGAGGTCCGTCGGCATCATACAGGAACCACCAGGTGGCAGCAGCCACGGTGGCCAGGCCCACATACACTGCAGGGAGGGCAGGAGGAAACCAGCTACAGTGGACAACTGTGGTTTTCCGGCATCCCTTCCCCTCCCCAATAATTCCCTGACACCACCCTCTCCCTCTCTAGGCCACATGAGCCAGTGGTGGGCCCTGACTGGCACTCGGTGTGTCACACCCCTGACCACAGTGATTGGCTAAGAGGTAAGCAGGTAAACCAATCTGGGCCAATCAGAACAGGCCTGCGGCTTTTACCCTACTGCTGAGGGAGTAGAATGGTAACAAGCTCTTTCTCCTATTGAATTTGGGGTTGCAATGGAGTAAGCATGAGGGCTGGAGCTGCCACAGCCATTCTGCCTCGACAGAGGTACCTGCCTGAGAATGGAGCTGAGGCAGAGCCAAAATATGCCAGTGCTACTGTCTGAGGCCTGGGTCCAGCCATGCCTGAAGCCGGATCTAGTCTGTTCAGTTAGATCAGCTTGCACAGTTTCTTTTGGCACAAGCCAGGCTGAGGCATACTGTCTGCAGTTTGCAAGCCTAACTGATATAGGGTCCTAGGAAACTCCTGGAACGCCCCCTCCCCGAGCTGGGGTTCCCCATTTACCTCCAATAGCCAGATATCGAAAGAAGAGCCAGCCGCTAATGAGGGCCTCACGGGGATTGCGGGGCAGCTTCTCCATGATGTCCAGGTCTGGAGGGTTGAAGCCCAGGGCGGTGGCAGGCAGACCATCCGTCACCAGGTTCACCCAGAGCAGCTGCACAGGGATCAGGGCTTCGGGCAGGCCCAGGATTGCCGTGAGGAAGATGCTGGAACCAGAGTCATAGGCTCCAGCCGCTGCCAATGGAGGGCCCAGCTCCCGCCCTCCTCAGCAGCCCAGCCTCGCCCTGCCAGTTCTGACGTGTGTGCATGAGTGAGAGGTGTGTGTACATAGCTCTGCCTCACACTGGGCCCCTTGGCTCCCCCAGTCCCAGCTCTGGAGCCTGGTCATATCTGCTCTTCAGACCTCTCCTGCTAGGACATAGTCCTCTTTGGGGCATACGCATGTGGACAGTGATGGCCAAGCATATACACATTTGTTCACAGACTTGAGCAAAAAACCCAGCACAGGCTACACAATCCCACAAACACAAGCAAACACCTATATGCTTGCCCCACATACAGAGATGCAGAATTCACTTGTCCGGGCAAACATGAGCTCCCCATTGCCCACAGCCATCTCTCACATGCTAACCTAAGTGTGTACACAACCATACATCTGCACAGATCCCCGTGCTTGTACTCACCCCAAAGATGCAACAGAACACAGGTGCACACACATACACACACTTCTCACTCAGGCACCCACACCACGTGCACTCACAGCCGTGTGCACCCTCCATGGACACACACACAAACACATCACTGCCCAGAGGGGGGGCTAGTTCTCCCATCTTGCATGACTCTGAAAGTGGGAAGGTTAGGGCTGGAGGGATGATAGAGGACTTTTCAGGCACCTCCTCAGGGACTGGGTACACCAGGGCCTTGAGAATGACAAGGTGTCCCCGTCCTGGCCCACCTGAGGTGAGACCCTGTAAGGCCCCAGCCAGGGCAAGTCACGTGCTCCTTCATCCCAGCAGCCCCATCCCAGGAACGGGCGCTTCCCTGGTCTCAGGGATCCATATGGTCTAGACCAGTGATGGCGAACCTACGACACGTGTGTCAGAGGTGACATGCGAACTCATTTTTTTGGTTGATTTTTCTTTGTTAAATGGCATTTAAATATATAAAATAAATATCAAAAATATAAGTCTTTGTTTCACTATGGTTGCAAATATCAAAAAATTTCTATACGTGACACGGCACCAGAGTTAAGTTAGGGTTTTTCAAAATGCTGACACGCCGAGCTCAAAAGGTTCGCCATCACTGGGCTAGACTCTAGAGGGCTGGGAAGAGGGGCTGGAGCCTCACCAGACGACCTCGCCCACATTGGAGGAGATGAGGTAGCGGATGAATTGCTTCATGTTGCTGTAGATGGCCCGGCCTTCCTCCACTGCAGCCACAATGGAGGCAAAGTTGTCATCCGACAGTACCATCTCTGCTGCTGACTTGGCCACGGCTGTGCCGGAGCCCATGGCGATGCCGATCTCTGCTTTCTTCAGGGCTGGGGCGTCATTCACCCCATCTCCAGTCTGGAGACCAGGTTAGGTGGGTTCACACCTGAGACAGTGCCTTTCTATCTCCCCAACTCCCTTCAACTCAGCCCATACCCAGGCTCAGAGGATGTCCCCACGGAAGCAGACAGCTGGACAGAACAAATGGTGGGGTCATGAGCTTAGAAACTGGGCTGAGGATGAGGCTAAAGGGAAGGCAAGGAGTGAAGACAGGACAAAGTTGGGGAGCAGACCAGGTCTAAGGCCAGAGGAGATGGTGAGGTGGGCAGGAGGGTGGGTCAACAATGAGGGTGGGGATGAAATTTAGTTTAGGTGTAGGGCAGAAGATAAAGTTTCTGTTGAGGACAAAGTTAAGGGCAAGTCAGGAATGAGGTCAAGGTTGTGGCTCAGCTCAAGGACCACTTAAGTATGATAGTCAAGGTGAAGGCTGGAGTCAAGGGGGAAGATCAAGGTCAAGATTGGACTCAGGCTCAAGATTAAAAATTAGATTAAGGTGGAGGTCAAGGCAAAGTCAGAGGCCAAATCAAGGCTCTGGCCCATATCAGGAGTGAGGTCATGGTCAAAGCTGGCATCCAGTCAAAGTCAAGGTTGGAAGCCAGATCAAAGTCAACATAAAGTATTGGGTTGGAGGAATCAAGACCAAAGTCAGGGATCAGGTCAGGGTCTAAGTAAAAACTGAAAGCCATATCAGGGTTGAGCTAAAAGTAAAGAATCAGATTCAGGTGGTCAAGGTCAAGGTCAAGATGACCTTCGTTGTGAAGGTCAACGATACAGTCAAGAACAAGGTTTCAAGTAACCAAGTCAAGGTTGGTGGCCAGTTCATTATCCACGTCCAGGCTGAGCCACAGGTCGGGATTAAGGTGAAGGTAAAGGACTGGGTTAGGCTGGAGGTCAAATAAATAGCAGAGGCCAGGTCAGGGACGGGGTCTAAGTCAAAAGTGAGATAGTGTTGATGAATAGGTCAGCAATCAAGAATGAGAGAGGCCCCAGCTGGTTTGGCTCAGTGGATAGAATGACAACCTGTGGACTTAAGGGTCCCAGGTTCGATTCCAGTCAAGGGCACATGCCCAGGTTGCAGGCTCGATCTCCAGTAGAGGACGTGCAGGAGGCAGCCGTTAATGATTCTCTTTCATCATTGCTGTTTCTATCTCTCTCCCCCTCTCCCTCTCCCTTCCTCTCTGAAATCAATAAAAATACATATTAAAAAAAAAAAAAAGAATGAGAGAGAAAACTGGGCCCAAACCCCACATCCATGCACAGGAGAAAGAATAAACTGTGGGGTGCTCACACAATGGAATGCTACTCAACAATTAAAAAGGCACTCATCTACTGAAACCCGCAGCAACACGGATAAATCTCAAAAGGAAGAAGCCAGACACAAGAGAATACACTGTGTGATTCCATTCACATGAAAATCTAGGACAGGCAACACTATCTCGGAAAAATCAGCACAGAGGTTACCTGTTGCCTGTTGCGGGAGAGGGGCCTGTGGGGAGGAGCGTGTGGGGAACTCACAGGTGATGGTGACGCTCCCTCTAAGGGTCTGGATGACACAGGTGTGCCATTTGCCAGAACTCACCAGATGAATGCCATGCTTAAAATGTGTGCATTTCACCGCATGCACGTTTTACCTTAAAAAGGGAAAAAACTGAACCACAAACACTGCTCTCTAGAGGATGCATTCTGAAGCACGTGAGGGCGAAGGGGACTGACGCCTACAACTCCGAAAGGCATCTAACAACAGATGGATAAGGATGGACAGATGGCTAGGTATGTGCTAAAGCCATTACAACAAGAGGTGATTTGCAGAATCTAGATCAGTGATGGAGAACCTATGAACTCATATTTTTGGTTGATTTTTCTTTGTTAAATGGCATTTAAATATATAAAATAAATATCAAAAGTGTAAGTCTTTGTTTTACTATGGTTGCAAATATCAAAAAATTTCTATATGTGACACGGCACCAGAGTTAAGTTGGGGTTTTTCAAAATGCTGACATGCCAAGCTCAAAAGGTTCCCCATCACTGATCTAGATGGTGGATCTATAAGCTCTCGCTATAAAATTATTTCAGTCTGTCTGTGTGTTGGATGCTTTGGTAACACAATGCTGGAAACAATAAGACCGAAGCAGAGGCGGGGGTTCACGGCTGCTCTTTCCAAGCCGTGCGGCATGTGCTCCCCCCGCTCCCCCCCCTCCTGTTTGCACCCCCTCCCCCGGCCCCGCCTGCGGCCTCACCATGGCGGTGATCTCGTTGAAGGACTGCAGGAACTCCACGATGCGGGACTTGTGTGCGGGCTCCACGCGGGCAAAGCAGCGGGCCGT